GTTATACCGTGCATATAGCAGCGCCAAGTGTTTACTTCTTTAACTTTTATGTAACACTTGAATGGACAACGCAATTATGGATTGTATTCTTTATTTTATTTGGTATAGGACCATTTAACTTGGCACTAGTTGTTAATATCAAATCTTTTATGAAGATACACATCATTAAAGTTAATAATATTTATTTAATAAAAATATTTATTTAATAAATAATAATATAATTTATTTAATTCGATAATGATTCGATAATGATGAATTAATTTCGCGCCAATTGTTGATATCAAATCTTTTTTATGAATGATACATATCATTAGAGTTAAATAAATAACAAAGATAGTATCACTTGGGTTTTATATTTTTTATATTTGATAGAATTTAACTTGATTAGTTAAGATTGTAACGTTTTAATTTTTCATTTAATACATTTAATACAATTAGAATTAGAATTTTTTTCAAGGAATAATAATTTTTTACAGAGAATTAAAGCTGCCATTACTTAAATTGCAATAAGAAGATCTTCAAGAATAAAGAATATCCGTGAAGAAAAATTAAAACTACTATTAATTGGGTTGGAAAATTAAGTTTTATTCGTCGTCATATTAACCAGAGATGATTGCCCGCTCCGTTCATCATCGTGCACATTTTCGCGTCCTTGAAAAATCGTATCCATCTCCAATATCATTACATTTCACAAATTTGACAGTGAATTTCAGCATTAATGTTTCTCGCATTTAAGAAACAGATCATAGACCGTATTTCATCATTGCGGTGGGCGTGGCAATTTGTGTTTAAACATTATAAACATATTACAATGCGTATGCGCTGAACTAATAATTGAAAATCATGTCAATCCCTTGCTAATGAATCAATAAACTCGGCATGCATGCGTATCTATCGCGACCACATCATGCGACGACAAAATTTTAAAATGGAACTTACTCGTACTTTTTGGATAGCCTTCGTAATAAGCTAGCAGAGTAAGCTCACAGTTTGCTTGGAAATAACAAATAAAATTGTTTTTGCTAATACAAATTAGTACAAATGCAATCATATTGATATCTGTTATTATTTTTCTTTTTTTTTAAATTGATCCTGCCAACTTAATATTAAGTTAACAGCGATTTTTTTCGAAGTGGCATACAGTATAAAATCGTCATTAATGTACAATTTAGTACAAAATATATGAGTATTAAATATTCCGATAGTTTCGATTTGATTTGGTTCTGCTAGCTTTATAGAACTCTTTTTAGAGCATAAATTATTTTAAATCTTCCTGTATAAATATAAAACTAATAGGATTTGAAGTAATTAATACTATTGTCAAAACTCTTCGTCAGCGACAGCTAAATGTATATTTTAATGACCTTTATTGTTCAGTGGTACAAACTGATAAACTTTTGTCACCTTGAATAGGATAGTTATAATAAGGATATAATTTATTGAGATGTATAATTTACTGAAATATTTGATATCTTTTTTTTTAAGTCTAATTTTAAACTTATAATAGAAAGTTGAACTTATGAGCATCTACGGAAAAGGCTATACCATTCAAATGTCCGTACTAAAACTAAAATTATCGACCGTACAAGACAAAAGTTAATTGCGAACTAATTATTCGCTCTTTATTATACTAAAGTGGCAACAATTCTCTCGCGCGGGATTCTCTACGTGTCTATTATTTTTTGTTCAGGAATATCTTTAAAAAAATGGTAGGAAAAAATTTTTGCCCATGCGAAATCGAATTTAAAATCAATATTATGATGTTGGCACGCGGCGGCGCGGCGGCACCATTTGACAAAATATGAATTGTTATATAGATTTTAATCGCTTGAGACTTCCTCCGACTTCTTCCTCTTGCTTTTGAAATAATTTAATCGTTAATTTAGAGAGAAGTACCGTAATCATGTTAGAAAAAGGATTTAAATTTAAAAATCAAACTCTAAAAATTTCCTTCAGTCGTAACAGTAAAATTTCATGAAAATCCCTCATTTTTAGGGATAAAAAAGAAATTCTCTGAAAATTCTAAATTTTTTAGGTTTCTTAGATAGAAAATGCTTTATTATGTAAATTTTATTTTATTTTAAACAAGATTTATACTCTTTTAAAATGCAAGCGATGACGATCGAGTTCAATGACTATTCTAACGAGGAGTCAATGTTACACGTGTTGTTGGTTTCTGTCTCTCTTGCTCTCTTTTTTTTCTTCTAGCCGTGCTTGGTCTTCTACATTTCTCTCACGTCTCTCAAGTATCCCTTTCGCATCAAGATCGCTTTGTCTTATCGCACTTATAACTGCTCGAGGGGGACTACTATTTATTTTTCCATCGAGTTATATGCGCCCGACAAAAAAGCCCACTGACAAGACGATCCTAAATTCTCGGTCGGCGTTTGCTCAGATTGGAAAGAGAGGAAAAAAAGAAAAAAACATGAAGAGAGAGAGAGAGAGAGAGAGAGAGAGAGAGAGATTTCCTCTAACATCTCTCTTTCGATTCACTCCGCAAATGATTTCGGGTGTAAGCTGGAGAAATGCTTTGTATCCCCAAAGATCTTTAACACATGCGAACAAAATGGTGAAACATATGGCCCCATAGAATATGTAGACACAAACGCATTTATTCACGGAGCAGAAATATGACTGGACGGACAAATGCCTTCCTAACATCTTTACTCAAATCTTTCGACATATAAATACGCTTGTCTGCTAAAAAAAAAATTAATAGTCAGAATGTTTATTTAAATCTTACTAAAAAAATTCAGAAACAAAATTCTCCAGATTTTCCAGATATTTTTATATCACAAATAAAAAATATAGAAAAATTCTTAATGCAATTTTTAAATAAAATGAAATAAAAGCAACACGATAAATTATTACACAGTAAGTTATTAGAAGTCATAAGACTACATCTATTCTTTTTTGCAATTGAAACAGCGAAATCTATAAAATAGTAAAGAGAAGGTTTGCTTTAGTATAATATTAAATAAGTTACTCTTTTCTACCATGTGTATTGTCTTTTATGATTATCTTGATCTTTTTAAATAAAAATTTGTAAATACGAGAATGTATACACGAATGTACACGGATGTGTGTATTTATTGCTAACCAATAATCAATATTTTGCATTGTTAAGAAAAATAATCAAAGAATAAATAAATTTTTATTTAGAAAAAAATTAAATTTAAAAATTTTTGTGAATACTTATAAAATGACTAATTTCGAAACCTGATTTGAATCTTCTCAGTCTTGCAAAGTATATTTCAAAAGTTTTAATAAGAAAATTTTGTAACATGAAGAATCTCGAAGTTTCGCGCAAACAAATTACAAGAAATTAATCAAGAATTAATCTCATAATTTCATACTTGCAGGAATTACTTTGGGAATATTGCAAAGGACCGTGCACAAATCATATGGAAAAGTAATTTCAAGTCAATCAAATTGGCTGAATTTTTAATATGTTGTAGCTCTCGTTATTTTTAATGTCTTAATGAGCACAAGTTGATCCTATGAGCCATGTTGATCCATGTTATAGACCCTAGTCCAATTATAACATGTAAGTTATGTGTAATTAAATGTAGGCAAATATTCGACAGCATATGTGACTCCCACGGTTCACTCTCGTAGAATTTAATGATTTCAAATCCTCTCTGGTGTGTGTGTGTGTGTGTGTGTGTACTCGCGCGCGGATGTGTGCGATCATACATGTACATAGTAAAGATGAACTCATTATCTTTACTATATTTTATTACAGTTTATTTTTTTTATTTTATTATATTTTACATATATTGTTATTTTACGTATTATGTATTTTTTATACAATATATATGTATAATTATACACATGTACATGAACAGGCGCTGAAATGAACCATGGATAGCACATATATTATCGAAAACGCTGTTTTACATGTTATAATACAGAATCTTCTAGCAGGCCTGTAACCACGGAATCGGATCATCGAATCAAATTATGCTCATTGAGACGTTCGTTTAAAATAACGAGAACTACTGCATATCAAAAATTCAGCCAATTCGAATGAAACCATATAATTTGTACGGAATTCTTTATTAATTCGAATAGATAATATGCGAAAAATTTTTCTCTTTTTATCTTTTCATGATTATTATTTCCACGCCATTCTTGTTACACAAATTCGAATTGCGATTCTAGAAACGATCGAGTTTTCGAAGAACCGAAAGCACAAAAATATAGTGCTCAAGATTCGAGATTATTCGTTTAATTTCATGAAGAACGAGATAGTCGACGGTAGAAAAAGCGGAACAATTGTTGAGACTGATGATGACGCAAATGCCTAATTCGGACATCCTGCGGCTGGCCTGGATATCGTCTATCTGACGACGCGACGTATTGCGACCGTTCGTTCGCGTTTCTATCTAAATGTTTCCGTCGATCCACACTTTAAGTATCGAGCGAATGATGTTTCGTACAACAGATATTTCTGCTTGATGATGTATCACACGTGTGCGGTAAAGCATATGAAACAGCATCGACGAAAATCAAATATTTATATTGATGCGAAAAGCGCAGTGATAATAATAATTCTCATATCACTGTTCACAACTCTTTAAAAATTTTCACAAAATTACAGATTTTCTCCTCGAAACGACGAATTGTCGAAATTAAATAAGATTCATTCATTGAAAAGTAATATCTTGATTAGCAATTGATTGTTCTTTAACTATGTCTACAAACTAACAATATGCCTTTAACAATATCTGCTGCAAAATTATTACTTCTATCTTTCTCGGGAAGATTCTATCTATCCCAGCATATTTACGAATCATCAATGGCAAGCATGTATCGAAGCATACTTCCCGTTGTGGCTCGTTGGCGAACAGAGTTGGTGGAGGCATAATGATTGATAATGATAAAGACGCATGTCGAATCCGCATCAATATATTCAATATTGTTGAAAAGAGTTCATCGACGATTGTCATAAATAATCGATAAATCGTTGCGTCTTTGGCGTAAAATCACCGTTAAATCTTTCGTCGGAACGACCGTTTAGCTGCATCAGGCGCTAGTCTTACCAGATTGGCGAAGGAAGTAAGAAGAAAAGTAGCGCGCGGCGAGATGATCGTCAAGAAATAATTTCTCGATCGACTGCATCTCATAACGTTGCTGCGTTGTCGTCATATCTTGGTGCCAAAATCTAAAAGACGCACGCAAAATCGCAAAATGCCAGATTTATCCACGGTCAGTTTCGCTCCCGAAAGAGGCTGGATAAATCGCGAATAAATCGAGGCAATATCTAATACGTTATTACGATATATTATCACCATATAAAAAATACGTGCATGTTGAATTAAAAAATGTAAATATTTCATCATTATCTTAAATATCACTTGCGAGAAATTTTTATTTAGAATTGTTGGATTGTGTCCGTCAAATTTTGTTGAGCTCATAGTTGAGGAACTCAAATATACTCGGATTTTACTCCTCTTAACAGTTTTAATAAAACTTGCTACAAATGTAAGATATTGTTAAGCGACCTTTTATTTTTGAACTCACATTTAATTCTATCTACCCACGAAAGAGTCTCTCTCTCTCTCTCTCTCTCTCTCTCTCTCTCTCTCTCTCTCTCTCTGTAGATACATATGTCCATTAACTTCAAAATTATAAATGAGACATTATTTACAAAAAACGATTGTCAATTCTGAATGATCTGAAACAGAAATTTCAAGAAACTTTCATTCATGCGAACAGTTGAGAGGGAAGCATAAATCATAGATTTCCTAAAATTTCCAAAATTAATATTTTTTTTGCTCTATTAATTCTCCGTAATAGTAATTTTAGCTCTCTCCATCAATAATTTGAATATTTTTTTATCTAGATCAAGTTTTTAAAGATTTTCAAAAAATGTGGAAAAATTGAGAGGATTATTTTTCCATATTTCTATTTTACATTACTAAATAGATATTACAAGATAGTTACAAAATATTACAAGATATTTTAGGAGAGGAATTCCGTTCTTCTTTATTTCGGAGAAATTTGAGTGTATGTCTTATGCCAAAGAAACCCAGACTACAGACAAAGGATTAAAAATTTCTTTGTGTAAAATCGATTTTTTTTACTTCAAACTAACGTAATTTAAAAATTAATGTAACATAACTATATCAAACTCTGTCAAGTTAGCTCTGTCAAGAGCAGTCAAATGAGAGTCAGAATCGAAAAAGACTTTTTCAACTTTTTCAACGTTTTCAACAATTTAGTGCTCATTTTGTATGCTAATTTGTATTTCAAAGAACAATTTTGTATTATATACCATTTAGAAGAAACGCGTGACGCTACTACTAGTCTAATATCAAACTAGCAGGGCCAGAAGAAAAAAAGAGGAAAAAAAGTAAAAGATTTAAACAGTACTGATTTTGTGCTAATTTGTGCTACAAAAAATAATTTTGCAGATTTTTTTCTAAAAAATACATTTATTCCGCAGATAAAATAAAATACAAGAAAGAATTTGAAATGCTATGTATAATTTTCCTTCATTGCGCCAGGTTCAATTTGTGAAGACAATTCGACGCAAATGATTGAAGCGACTAGATAGAAGGAGCTTCCATTTTCGCGAAGATTAAGCGCCGATATGAATATGAAAAACTTACTGAAAAACATTCGCTCAACCTTCAATATGTTCTATTTTATACGAACCTACCTTATTAACTTCCTTCTCGATGAGCTTGTATTTCTTGCTGCGTGCAAGTTTCTCACGACTGTCTGCGTTCGCTACCTCGAGTTTGTTGCGTTGTTGCTCAGCGACACGAAGCTTCGTCTCCGCCTGTCTGGACTCGGCCTGGTAGGCTTGGTAAGTCTTCATTGTCGTGTGCAGTTCGTGCAATACTCGAAGTATTTCCTCGTGCGTCTCATAGCCGATCTCGCGACACTGCGGTAACAGATGTAATTGATTAAAAACATACAGAGTGTATGATCTTTTCATAATGTGAATTTAATTGGAATTAAATGCAATAGAAACAACATTTCTTCTTTCGAAAGAATTTACGATTGTATAAAAATATGTGTAAATAAATTTACGAGGCATAGAGAGTGATTCTTAAATATTTTAAAAGATATAAATAAAGAATGCTATGTTTGGTCAAAGGCGAATCTTGGTGCCTAATAATAATAATAATAATTAATAACATTTTTGTGTGAATTTTTACAATTTCTAGTTTAAGCACACTACAGGCTATATAAATAATAATACTATATAAATAATTAATCGGCGTTTGATTGCTTAAACTGGAAACTAAAAATTCACACAAAAATATTATCAAGCACCGAGACTGCTTGCTTTAACTGAATATAAATATACAGGTCTTATTCTGATTTATTGGTATTAAACATTTCTTTCTCATCAATTTTCACTTATTATTGTTTATTCTAAAAGATTGTAAAAGATGATTTCTCACATATAATTATATAAACACATATATTAATATTTACACCTTAAGCAAATTATACACACGTGAAAGTTGTGCTTATTCTGTTTTTTATTGAGCAACACATTTTTATCGATTATTTATGTTATCTATTATTATTTTCACTGCTATAAACAAAAAATTTTTTAAATAATAAAAATCTAAATTTTATTTGTATTATATAAGTACTTTAGTGCGAGAGCTCCTGTGTGCAATGAAAAAACTTAGGTTAGAAATTTCATTTCTCCACTCCGCGACATCTCTATAATTACTTTAAGCGTTAAAAATAACTTAAAAGCAAAGTTTCATTGAGATTCATTTAGTTTATAACAAATAAATATTTCGTTTTCTTACTTACTAATGTCTGCAATATCTTAATGTGACTTTACATAAATATTTTTGAATTCATAAAGTACGTATATTAAAAAATTGAGATGTTTATCATTATTTTATAATGCATTTCCATATATTACTATTAGAATGTAAATTAAAAAATCATTATTTTTTATTGAAATAACTTTTGATCCAGGTAAACTGTCTTTAATTTTTTTATGTTACTTTTAAATGCAATTTAAAATAATCTGTAAAGTTTTCAAGTAATTCTTAACATATTGCCTATGCCTTACAACTTTTTAAATGTTGTAACAGTGTTTACACTGTGTTATACTATCTACATATGTCTACATCCGAACAGCTATTGAATAGCGCTGATAGTGAGCTCCTTGAACGCACCTATAACCATATGAAATTTTCGTCTTGAATTAATATAAGCCGTAAGGAATCATCCCTTAAATCTGTTAGAATACTTAAGGATCACTATGTATAAGAAGGGTACAGTAAAAAGAGATTTATGAGAATATAATTGTAAAAGTAAAAGTAAAAAACGAAGATGCGAGTAATTGTAAGAGAATGTGAGAGGCAACGTCGAGAATTTCGTCATAATAGAATTAACATTTGTTTTTGTTTCCAGCACCCGATATATCGATAATACCATCAAGTTGTAACGAAAGGTTGCGAGATGGGTGGCGACGCGGCGACGGCGGAATGGAGACATTTGAGGTTAATTAATTCGACGAGACAATGGAGCAATCGAACTTCTCAAAGTTAGGCGCGCGGTGATGCAATTGCGCGATCTCGACTTAAGTCAACTATTAACGGTGGCATCGTGTACCGCGTAGCGTATGACACTCACACGCTTGTAAATTCGCTGCACGTCCTCCATCACCTGATTGAGACGGCCCACGAGGTGGGTGCTGTAGACCTCAGATAGGGCGGCATGGTCCCTGCTGAGAGACTTGGTCTCGTTTACGAGTTGCTGCCAGCAGGCATAGCTGGAGAATAGGGGCCATTGTTCCCGCCTGCAGAAAACGATAGATAAGAGACGATATGGAATCGACAGCGGACGTGCATGTTCTGCACGCGTGTATATCGACGTAATTACATCGGCAATTAAATTGACTGCGCTAACGAGCCGATAAAGCGTCGCGTTCGCGTCGTCTTGCGAATGCATATCGTTTCGTCCTTACATTTTCAATGTTTGCATACGTAATAGCGATCGTTCCACTTACTCGTTCATGCAGCTCAAATGCGCTATATACAATGTACGCACGCACGCACGCACGTACGCATATCCTTAGATTGAAGATAAAATAATATTTATATTAAGTAAGCAAGTTGCCTAAAATCATTTTATTTTATAAATTTAAGATTGTTCTAATATTATATGTATAATCTCTGATTACATTATTAGACACATCATATTTTTTTAATCATTCATTGATTTTTAAAGAACAGATTTGTCTTGCGTTATAATCTATTTATCAGTGTTGTACTTAATCGATTGAAATATTATATAAAGAAAATAGTAATATATATAAAAGGAAAAGTTGTATATAAAATGAATGCATTTTAATTTACAACGTTCATGAAAATTATATATAAATTTGTTAACAGCTGTAGAGACGACACTAGGAAGAAAAGCGCACATTTATTCTGTTTATAGAAATTTCGTTTTGTTTGTCACTTTTTTATCAGTCATAGTAAACTTTAATTTACACATTACATAACATTAGTATAAAAATTGGATATTTAATAGCTTATTATTTTCAGAGTTCCAGTAATTTTAGAGAACTACCATTAGAATTAATAAAATCTAAAAAAGATTTCGTTGGGGCTTAGTCAAATTCGCGTGAGTCGCACTTTCGAGATTGAGTAACTTCTTAATTACCGACTCGATCATTTCTTATTATAATAATTTCTTAGAGTAGAATTCTTAGAGTCTATCTAGAACTGTCGTTAAAATTACCACGATAAAAAAAAAACGTTAAAAAAATATAAGTACATTATATTTATTAAGAAAGTATTGAAACAATAAGTTATTTAGCTATAGTTGTACAATGATTTCAAATAAAATCGAACAATTATTTTATACTTCTATTTTATACTTTAATTTTGCGATTAGATTTTTATCTTCCTGTTTTATCAAAATTGATATTCTAGTAAAGCAAAAAGTGAAATACAAGAAAAATGCCTGAATATTACAATTTATTAATTTTTATATATTAGGTATAGGAAAAAATTCGTGACGTTTTTCCCGTTAGCATTAAAAAAACGCGAACTTTTTCCCATATCTAATATATATATATATATATATATCAATTTAATTATTTGATAAAAAAGTATTATAAACTAACGGCATATAAAAATTAAAATTTTTTAAAAGCATGAATATTATTAAATTGTAATGAAATATATAATTAACAAATTATAGTCCCGATTTATGAAATTCGAATAAATTAAGTCCCAACGAAATGGTCTTTTAAAATTCCAGTAATTCTCTCTCTGATGACTGCAAGAAATCATAATATATGATTCGGCTAATAATTAAGAAATTATTCGACGTCAAAAATTTACTACTGCTAATGATTTTTTTGTAACTCTGAATGGCGATTTTTTAAAATAATTATAGAAATTTAATATTTGTTATTTGTGAGCACTTTAGAATTCATCGAAAGAAATCAGAAAGAAATTCAATCGGGTTTGATATTAATTTTTTAATGATGTTATTTTTTTAAAGAAGTAAATAATTTTTTTATATCAAGAACTCTAATATTTGTTAAGAGGCATCAAACGAATTATTTGATGCTGTTGGGTATGAAATTAGAACGCCCATTTTTCACAGTCTACTTTTATTGTTTTAATCAACGGAACTCTCTTCAAAAATTATTTTAGAAAAAATCTTTTTTTCATTCTAAATAATTTAGAACTCTTAAAAGAACTACGATTTTGAAGCCTAAATATCAATTTCATACGCCCATTTCAAAGACTGAAAAAGATTTTGGGCGTGATTTGCAGAATTGGATATGTAAACTTATACCAAAAGATTTAAGCACTAAGATCCGCCGCTTTAAAATCGAAAATAAGATAATTTTTTTTTTAAATAAAAAAATAAAGTTTTCTAGAAAATAAGTTTGAATGTTTTTAATCATTAAAATTTTGTATAAGGGTCAGCGGAAAAATTAACGGAACTTATTGAGAGATTTGAAGAACTCGTCGGGATCTTTCAATCCTAACACTCAGTGCTACGTCAACGACACTCCATTCTAACTCTTGTCATATTTATTCCGGTATATTTCCTATGTATATTTTTAAATGGCCGATTTTCTTTATTTTCCTACACTTTTAATTTTAAAATGCTTTTTAGTATAATAATTGGCTGTAAAAGAAATAAAAATACATTGTTTTAAAAGTATGTTTTAATTCTTTTTCTGCAAACAATTAAAAAAATTGTAATTTTTTTAGTTGCGTCGTATTGTAACAAATGAATGATATATATATATATATATAATATATATTTCTATTTCAAAAATAAATAAATATTTGATGTAGAATAAAACTGTGTTTTTATGTGTTATTGAGAATGTCCAAACAAAAAAGAAAACCTTATTTTATGTACGTAAATATAAATATAGCTGTCATTCTATTTTTATTTAAAAATAAAAATAGTTATCGTTTTCACACGATGAATCTAACAAAAAATTTAATTATTTAATAATATGGCACATTTAATAATATGGCCAAAAATTGTGGAATAAATTATTTTGAAATTATTTTGACATTACAAACAGATTTCCTATATCTGTTTTGTAATAACAGTATGCATAATTCTTAGACATGTATTGCAAGTTACAAGCACATAGAAAATAATTTTATAAACATTTATGGACAATATTTTTAAAACTACAAGTAGGTCAGCTGAAAAGAGGTTATCCGGTTATCGACCATAAAACTTACTTTACGATAATTATATTTCTTGGGAAAGGGTAAACAAATGTGACGACGTAATCCCGGATGCGCCTTCGCAACGAAGAGAACTATCGATTTGCAATATCTCCTGGAGCGAAATGAGGGAAATGTGCAAGTGGGAAACGAGAGTATGTCGTCGTGGTTACGGATTACATTTTACCCGTGTATAACCATGTACAGCGCGAGAGGCATCCCTTTTGTGGACGCTGAATACGGTGCATAAAAGGGGCGCCCCGCGTTCAGGGTTGAATGACGAGAAGGAACTGGGGCATGTCGTAAATGTGGGAACGGTGCCAGCAGATGTGCACGCGCGTGTAGGACGCGAAAAAATGAGAAGCCATCTACTTTTCCGTCGTCCATCCGTCTGTCTGTCCGTCGCAAAAGTGGAACGCGGAAAACATTAATTGCACGAAATATAAGAAATATAAATCGTCATGAGATGTGCGCAGAGGAATTCATAAATCTCTATTATATATATATAT